GGTCACTGAGGCGCGCAAGCCATCACACCACGTCAAGGTGCAGTCTCGTCGTGATGGTGTTTTCAAAGCACCAAATCAATCTGAATTTTGAGCGAATGTCAATTTATTCCTGTGAGGCATTGCACGTCAATCCCGCGAGATGCACTTCCTTGTTCATATCCATATGGTAAGTGAATTCGCCGCACTCACTGCGGCGTGACTCTATTCGATCTCTACAAGTGCGTACTGTTGGGTAGAGTTTCTACACCAGATCGTGCGATGTGTGTATGACGTCTTAATTTAGTTGTACTGCACCCGGTTGGTCATACAGACGCAGTCAGGCTTACGGAGATCAATGCGAATTTGTGATGTGTGATGTGTACACTCTTACGGCAATCGATCCTATCCGAATAAACGAACTCACCCAACGATAAGCGTATGCCATCAGAGATTGTTACAAGGGAATAGTTCTGGTCTCCCGGAGGTAACATTACAAATGATGTTGTTGAAACAATGCAAAGTTGAAATGTTCACAACAAACTTAATTTTCTAAACGCATGACTAGGGCACATGTCGCGTGTCTGCAATTTTTTCAAGTGTCTTATTTTTCCTCTACCGATGAAGTTCGTTTTGACTGAATGCGTTCTTTACATCGGAATGTCGCTCGCATACACCTACTCTATCAATTTGTCAACTTCTACCTTCCTGTAAATCTTCACACAAAGCTGTTATTCTTTACTGAGCGCTAGTTCTCACCGGCAGGTATGAGTTTCCGAAAGAACTTTCATCGAATTTGAAACTTCAATTCTGGTATCAACCCAACAATGTCATTGATGTAATTTATTTATGCTATTTTTCCTGTTGCTGAAAAACTATGTATATCTTCAAGCCAGGTTGATACAAAATATGGTATACTTCATCAATTAAGTCATTCACCCGTGCAAAGGTCTTACGAATGAATTCCAACTTATCGATTCTCATTTTACCCAACTTTCTATCACTGTTGTTCACTTTAACCAGGACTATGGAATTCCCAATCTGGCACTCTGCGGAGTTTTAGTTACGATTGCCATTGTGCAATTGTGCTGTCTCCGCCTGCCGTACAAACGACGTGCCGCGTCCGAGGCCTACTCGTCTGCCGTGGATCTTAATTCGAATCTAGTACTTCCGGTAGAAGAGACATCAGACGTTGGGGAAGACATGGCATACGAATCAATGGAAACCGCAGCTACCCCAGCCCCCATGAACTATTGTTCTACCTAGTAGTAAATTAGACTCTTTTTTGATGTGCTGTTGTGCTTTTCTTCCCCTTTGTTTTGACGGTTTATTGGGACACTTTGAATAATGAAGTTTTTTTCGGATATTTTTCACTTTTCTCAATCCTCCATTCCCAAAATGGAGAATCAAATATTTTTTTCTCTCTCTTGAACCCTGTGAAGAATTTTTGTATATTTTCTTGTTATTTTTCAAAGATAAGTTGAGCAGCGAATAGCACCATAATCTAATCTCTTTTGCTTGTTTCTGAGTATATCTATATCACTTCCTACTTGTGATGCGAAAATAATGTTCTTTTAGACCAATTAAAGAATACACTACTTCATCTGCCCCCGAGAGGGCATAATTTTTTTACAAAGTCATCCTGAGTGCTTGTGTGGGTAGTTACACAGCAAATTCGATATGATAGGTTAATTTGACCAGGAGGAACTAATAACGATTTGTTCTTCTAGGTCATACTCATCAGTTTACAGTGAAGCAAACTTAAGTGCTCACTGATCGACACACGAAACATACAAAGTAAGTACGAATGTATAAAGTAGATGGGTAATAGAACTGTTTTAAGAGAAGAGTACAAAGTGCACAATCGAACGGTGCTCGCATACACGCACGTTTTCAGGCATTTTGCTCTAAGGACTACGCTCGAAAAGTGATTATTTCGTTGGTAACATTCACGTCAAAAATTGCATTGCTATTTCAAATCAAATAACCGTTAATCGTGCACCTTTTTGCGGTGGGCTTGATTGCTGTTTCATGAATGCCCATTTGAATGAAGGAGTAAAACGAAGATAGGAATTTTCGAATCAGTGTCGAGGTGAAAATTAAGAAATCGTAACTACTAAAGTTGCAAGGTTATTAAGTAGATGCCTGAGCGCCGCTGTTTATCACACCCAGCCGTATCACCCAGTGTTTCTAACCGTCAGGTACACTGATCCCAAGCTGCTTATCGAGGAAGCCTAACACCATCTATGTGAGGGTTTTCTTACCGTCACATAGATCATAGTTCGACCACCCTGTACTTGTTTCTACCCATCATCTGCCTCAGCAGTCTACTTGGTGACATTCTAACCAAATTAATCCATTCAAGTCGAGCACTTGCACTAGTGGATGATCGCGATTAACCAAAAGTCTGCCCCCAACCTCAGCATTGCCCGCCCGGTTTCCCTGCCAGACTCATTCAATGCTGCGTAGACAGCTAAGTTCGAACAGTGACAGTCTACCTTTTTCAGGTTTTCGTAATGGCCAGTTCTCTGGTATTTTCGAGTTGTGATATAATGCTTACATTGTGAACTTGTTGCGGGTAGCTGGTGTGAACTTTGGACATGCGGAACACTTGATGCGAAAAAATACTGTCTATCAGCAGAAGCGCTCATTGTCAGATAGTCCGTAGTTCAGCTGTTTGTATGTTTATTATTATTTGCATAACTTTGATCTCCACTGCACCTGTCCTCTTCGTTCGGATTTGCACTGACGAATGCTTTTAACTACTTCAACAGTATTGCATTTTACATCAGTTCCTTCGTGTGCCTTTTTTGTTAAATGGGATAGTAGGAGAATACCCTACAAATGGTGAATCACATATGACTGCATTGAGTTAGACAAGGTTTTTTACTCGAAAACAAGGGAGCTGAACACCATCACGACAGGATTGCGAATCTGGGACTAGCACAACATAGTGGCAGCGGTCAAGATCATCTAATCGATGTCGTACATGATCATGCTTGGATGAGTATTCTGCGTCGAATATTCTAACCAGTAGTGAACGATGCAGCCTAACAAAGTCTTGAGGCGCCAAAGATACAATCGACACACGAGGGTTTTTTCGAAATACTGGCTGTAAAACGCGATGACATAACCATCTTAGTTTATACTTTCACTTATTGATCGATTCCGGTCGATAGCGGAAATATTACCTGCGGGGAAGACACGTACTAATCATGAGTTGATACTGAAGTCTTCGTACAGCGAAATACAGTGAAGTGAACTTCATTGATCTCTGCCACACTTGCAACACATACAAAGTGAGATGTAAGGTTTTTTTTTATTACACTTTCATGTGATGAACAGCAGACGTGGTGGAACCCCATAATCACGAAGACCTGATATTCAGTGATGGAATTCGGTAACCTAAGCCCCGGGACTTGGAGTGGCAAACCACATAAGGCCCCGATAGGTTATGCGTGGTATTGAACCGGACGACGCCAGAGCTGCCTACCACCAAAGTCGGGTGGCGGTGGCGGTGCTCGAACCTCGGACCATGAGGTCTAAAGCACGCCGGTGACAGTGACTAAACCACTGCGCCACCACCGCCCAGGGGTTGGGGCTATTTTGAGGGAGAGAGAAGAAAGTAAACCTGTAAGGTCAACGTAGATTGCTTTTGTATTTGTATAGAATTTTACATGGACAAATGTTCGCATTTCAGTCAGAAGTTACACGTCATCGAAAGAATGAAATAATACGAGTAGTATCTTCAACCTCCAAGGTTGATGAGAAATTCAGAAGAAAGCTGATGTCGATTTGCAAGGATTCTAGCAAGATAGGAGACTAGACTTTCTGTTGAGGTTCGTGAACGATATGCAGAACGCGTTGATGAATGAGATTGGCTTTGGGATAGATTGCCATGTAAAGACTGAGCGGAGTTAGAGACGATTTTCTGTGCAAATGTTTCACATGCTTGCGTGTGTAGTTCACACAGTTTTGTAGATAGATCACTAACGGGTATAAAAGACACGACTGACAATCGACCGGCCGCGACCAAGGACTTCGAAATCTTTCTTAAGTAGACCGGCAAAATCCACGGGGAACAATGAAGAAAATTAGAGAAAACACATTGATAAACAAAAAGCGAAATGATTTCTGTTTGACACTGAATTGTGTGAGTATTCTAAGTCGAAAAGATATTCCACGAAGTTTCTTTTGGCAGTTGTCAATAGGGGAGTTTGTGTCAGTGGGAACCCATAAATACTTCACAGAATCTATTCTAGTCAAGGGATCTGTATTTATGACCGAGGGTTCACGGGAACAAACGGACCGAGAGAGGGCAAAAATGTATTCGAGGCACTTAGACAAGAGTCAGTCTAGAACGAACGGAAAATTCATGGATATACGACAAATTATCGAAGAAATTCAGGTAATGAGGCACAGAAATGGCTTAGCAAAGGGCTACATTGTCAATGCGTTTAAATAATTCGCCCGAGGAACTCGCTGATAGGCTACTGATGTAGGTGGAAAACAAGAAAGGAAAAAGTACCGCTCCCTGGAGCACCCGCTAGTTGTTCACGAACCGCTTTGATCCTTTTGGATCCAGCCGAGAATGCTGAGTTCTGTTTGTGAAGTAACCAACTAAGCATGCCAGTAGGTGCTTAGGATATCCAAATAATTCCATTTTGTAAAGAAGGGCGGAACATGAAATTATAGTCAAAAACCGATAAATATGTAAAAAAAATCCAATCTCAGATTTCACCGATGCGTCTAAGGATTTGAACTAGAGAGGCGATAGCGTCCAAAGTGGACCTGGTTGTTTTATACGCAAACAGCAGGATTTTCGGGGCATTGGAAGGAACAGTCAAACGTTTGAGAATGACACGTTCCACCAGTTGAAGAGCAATGGAATGAAAACGTTTGGGTCGAGTTCTCCATCGGCACGGTTTGGGAATAGGAATGATTATAACAGGTCTCTAGCAAGCAGGGATACAATACGTGCAAAAGGGTGTGTTCAGCAGGGGAGTGAGGGTACCATTCAGAGCAAGGACATCATGGTTTAGAAGAGATTATGATAGACCGATACCAGCGGACGATTTAGTTTTACGAAGGAGTTCGAACACTTCTCTCCAGAATGGGGTTATATTAGCCCCATCATCCCAAATCCTTGAGACACGAGGGGCTTTGGTCGTATGATCTATGTTGTCAATGTCCACAGCACAGTTATTTGGTCTGAGTTTAGTTCTACATAGCACCTGAATACGATCACATAG